GTTATTTTAGTTATTATTGAGACAGAATTTATATTCAAAATTAGTTTAATATTTAATACATTTCAATAAAAAAAAAGGTTTTAAGCTATTAATGAATAATGCATTACACAAAAAATATAGTATTCTACTCTCATCTGTATATAGCGCTAATCGTAAAAAAGAAACATAGCATGCGACTCTCCCCTTAAATTGTTGCCCTTTATTATAACGAATCTTTATTGCTTCCAGAATTTTCGCAGAAAAAATATAGTATTAATCTCTCTCTCTTCCGCATGTAGAGTCGTTATTCGTAGAAAAAAATATAGTAAGCGACTTTACTGTTAATTAGAAAATGAATGATAGCAAAATTTGTATGACCTAGGTGATAATCCCCAATATAACATCATAAATTAGTGACGGATAATTTCTAAAATAAAATGTTTAGCATTATTTTTTCCAAAATAAAATCTTTGGTTTCCTTCCTAAAATTTTTAAAAATAGCAATTTATTTCAATTCTTTTCTTAAATTTTTTAGTTATTTTAATCTACAAAAATAAGGTAAGTGTGTAATCTCTACAGGTAGAAAATATTTAAAATTCAAAATCAATTTAAGTAGTCCTCAGCTTTCTTGGAAATGATTAGAATTTCTAATTAGCAGAAAGTGTTATGCAGATTGTAAATTATTTTAGTTAAGATTTGCATTTCTGTTTGTATAGTCCTGTGATTCTAACTTTAGTGTTAAATGTACATGACGCTCTTGTACATGAACATTTCCATAGTACTGTTCGGAGTATGGTTTCTAAGTGTTTAAATATGACCGGAGTTGGAGAAGCAACAATTTATAGACTTTTTAAACAACAAAAGGATGAACGCAATATAGTAGCACCTAAAACGTCAACTGGGAGAAAACCCATTCAAATAGACGATACTATGAAACAACTGATCCGAAGAAAAGTGCATTCGTTTTATTTACAAAAAAGATACCTACTTTAGATAAACTTTTAATATACATTAATGGAAACGAAACTTTGCCAAATATTAAAAGAGACAAATTGTGGAAAACTTTACATGAATTAGACTTCGTTTGGAAGAAGAACGATAGAAAATCTGGGATCATAGAGAAAGATAAAATTATTTGTTGGAAGAGGCAATATTTACGGGAAATTAGAAAATTAGGAAGAGAAGACAAAAATATTTTTTACTTGGATGAAATATGGATAAATGACGGATATTTTGTAAAAAATTTGGCAAGATAAACAGGTTACAAATGCTCGTCAGGCATTTATAGAAGGTTTGTCTACTGGCTAAAAATCTCCAAATGGTAAAGGTCACCGTTTAATATTCACTTATATTGGAGGAAATAAAGGATTTGTTGATAGAGGCTTATTAGAATTTGTTTCAAATTATACGAAAGACTAGCATGAAGAAATTACTGCTGATGTTTTTGAGGAATAATTCAGTCAAATGATAGATTTATTACCAATCAAATTGTAATGAAAATGACAAAAGAAAAACCTCAAACTTTCCTAGTGAATTAATATATAATGGCAAAACAAGTTCTAGTGGTAATGATATAGTTAATTTGTTTGCTGATTTTTTTAAAAGTATATGTTCATAATGATTGTGATATTTTAGAGGTACCTGTATATGTCAATAACATAAATATAATTAACTGTGATAATAAAATATCTGATGTTTATACTAAACTAGCAGCTTTAGATATTCGTAAGTGTTCTGGGCCGGATGGAATTCCTTCATCTATTCTAAAACCATGTTCTTTTATTTTAGCACGACCACTGTTCATAATTTTTTAAACTTTTCTCTTTCTCTCTGGGCATATTTCCAACAGTCTGGAAGACAAGTTATATACCACCAATTTTTAAATCTGGCAACAAATCCGAAGTAAAGAACTATCGAGGAATCAGTATCTTGAGTACTGTACCAAAATTATTTGAAAATCTGGTTTGCGAACCTTTAACATCTTCACTCAACAATGTACTCATAGATCAACAATTTAGCTTTAGACGTAAATGTTCAACAGAATTAAATTTAATAACATATTCTCACTACCTGTCAAATGCCCTTGAAAATGGATATGAAGTGCATTCTATTTATACTGATTTCTCCAAAGCCTTTGACCGGGTAAACCATAGAGTTTTAATCCACAAATTGAAAATGGCTGGGGTAAATGGATTACTTTTAAATTGGTTAGAAAGCTATTTAATTGATAGACGTCAAATTGTACATATTTCAAACTACAAGTCATACGGCATATGTACCTTCAGGCGTCCCGCAGGGCTCACATCTAGGACCACTACTTTTTAATATATTTGTAAATGATATTAAATCCTGTTTTCATTTTGATAAATTCCTTTTATTTACAGGTGATCTCAAACTGTACTCTACAGTATCATCTGACCTTCACTGTATGTCACTGCAGTCTAATTTAAAAAACTTAGTCAATTGGTGTGACTTAAATGGAATGAGACTAAATTCGGATAAATGTAATGTTATCATATTCCATCGAACTCGTGATACAATTAATGTTCAGTATACAATCAGTGCCAATATCTTGGAGAACTGCAACATTATTATAGATCTAGGGGTCAACTTTGACTCATAACTATCTTTTGTTTCACATATTTCAAATATTATCAACAATTCTCTACAGATGTTAGGATTTCTAAAAAGAACTACTCAGGATTTCACAAACATCAACACACTTAAAATCTTATATTGTTCTTTAGTCAGAACCCATTTAAAATACGCTTGATTAAAATAAGTGTGGGTACTTAATATTGACAGTTTACTACTTTTTATATTAAAGTAATTTCATGTTCCCTGCCACTGAGATATAGAATTATTGGTTAATCCCTTATGGTTTGCTCATTTACATTTTATGATGTTATGTATTCCGAGATTTTTCAGGGTGGTCATACTAATATCTAGAGAAAATTAAGATAAGAAGGTAGCAATAGTTACTTTTTTCTGGCACAAAAACTGTGTTATCATGCATTTTCAAATAAACTATAGCAGGAAAGAACTGAAGACCGTAATAGGGCACTTTGCGGGATACTGTGGCCTTAGCAGACACCTAAACCTCTTAGGGTTATCTGAGGATATCCTATTTTTCCACTTCTGGGTGCAGTATCCAGAACCCGAAGAATTTGCAAAAGCGCCCATCAGATGTATCCTTGAATATATAATGAATATTAACCTGATAGGATAGACACCTTATTTCACATAGAAATAATGAAAACTGAATAAATATAGTAACAACTGCCATGCTATGGGTATCGCTTTGCTTTCGGCACACAGTTTAGCAGTGTTGTCTCCGGTTACAAGTTGAATAGGTGACTGCTAGAGGAAATAACATTTCTTTTACTCTTAAACGGTTATTACTGAAATTTTAAATGTAAAAATTAAAACTCGCGACTAAATGTTTCTTAAAATTTCATTAAAACAAATCATATTATCCAGGTAAGCAATGATGCCAAGTTATGTTATAAGTCTCAGAGTTCAAATACGTTTGTGGCCTTAACCATAGAATTTAGAAACGAACTTTATAAGGCTTCGTGACTTCGTGTATTCGCTCAGTGCAAAGTCATGGTAGGAGAAGCAAAAGCGATACTAGCGCTAGCTGCGGATAATTCGTGCATTTTAGGGCGATATTTTGTAATTTTAGCGTATCAAATATACGTATATATTTTACTTATTAAAAAAAAAAATAGTTAAAAGCAATACTATGAGCACCCGGAGTTGCTGTATTGTAAATTGTAAAAATACTAGCAAAAAAACAGTGTATTTTATAAATGTTCAGTAGCAAAATGGAATTTAAATCAAAGAAATAAACGTTCCTTTAATTGCAGTAAGAAGGGAAAAGTACAGTATTGCCCTAAATAAACAGTACTGAAACTAAATTGGCAGTGTCTCTTTGTGTCCGCTATCATACCCAAATTAGCTAGTATAGACATGTCAAGTAAACCTTAAAAAATTAATTAATATGGCCTAATTGTTAAAAATTGTGTTAAGTACAGAGGAGAAAGTGTTTCTGGTAGGGTATTATTTTCGCTAATACGGAATCGGCCGACGTAATGGTGCAAATCTGCGACACGTGTGTGATCGATTCACACAAGGGTTAAATAAACGTTTCCCAAGTAATCACGTTATTGAAAAGTTCAGAAATACGGATAAATGTATTGTGGCAACGAAAAGAAAACTCTGGGCATTTCGGGAAAAAAAATTACAGCAGGACGGTACAACTTGTGATACTGCTGCCGCAGTTCGTCAGTTTCTTCAGGGATATTTTCCAAACAAACAGATTTCTGTATCTGGAATGCACTTTTGTGACTGACTGATTGGTAAACAGTTATTTAATAATAAATTCTATGTTTTCTTTCGAACTAAAAATGAAGAAAGCAAGTATAAATTACATTCGAAAATATTACAATGTTACAATACATTTTCTCGTAAATACTGTTGCCTAACTATCTGTGTACATGTTTTATTAATTTTTTTATTAAAAATACTTATTTTTCTTTAGTAATACAAATCTTATCACTTGTTTTATAAATCAATACCCTTTTATTAAAAGCAAAAAATATATTTTCTAATTAGGAATTCTATTAAAAATGATACTGTCAGTATATGAAAAATCCCCCTTTAGTACATATTTCAGTTTGCGCTGCTCTCATGCACGGAGCGAATAGATTATTTATTTGTTAATATCTACATCCGGTATAGCTGAAACTGACAGGATCTTTAAAATATATAAATATAAATAGAAATATAAATTGGACAGACTGTAGAATTTCGCCTTAATTATAAAACAACCATAGATTTGTTTCTCTTTAATTTAAAAGTAATTTTAGAGTGATTGAATCAACTTTGAACAGCAATGCAGAAAGATATAGAAATTGCGTTTTCCATAAACACGATATTCTGTAACTGAAATTTATTCCAACCATCCGCATCCCACACATAACGTACAATTACTCTCTCTAGATTAATGCGATACGTACATGGCATTACGTGTATCAGGTATTTCTCTATTACTGGGTAAATTATCACTAGCTAGTTGGTTGAACTTGTTCCTTCCATAAGGATCCTCGCCCTTGAGTAAACGGCCTTTTGACACGTAGCCACTTTCGTCGAAATAGTTCCAGGCCAGGCGGCCGTCAGTCGTTTCGAGACTTTGGAGTGCCATCGGGACTCCCGGACCGAGGTCGGTGTCATCTTGGACGTACGACGGCACTGATGTGATACCATCTTTCAGTCTTAAGGCTTTGTTTTCACTCTGAAAAAAAAAATATGTTACTATTATTTGATAAGTTCACTAAAATGTCAATAGTGGCCACATAATTGAAATAAGGAGAATAGATGACAGTCTACGAACTGTAGGATGATGTCAATTCTCGTTCAAAATTTATGTAGCGTTAATGAGATTTCGCGCATAACTCTCATATATGTCAATTGTCATTCGTCATTTTACAAAAGTTTACAACTTTTATTCTGTATATTGTTAGATATTTTTATATTGCCGTTCTGTGTAATAAAATAATTATAATTTGGAATATCTTAACATCAGTAAGTACATAATTTGGCAGATACGAACTATCTCAACTACAGGATGGCTCCTTAGTATGAGGAGTCTAATATCGATCTATAAAATTTATAGGGTTTACTTTATTTGCATATTTCTAAAATACTGCAAAATATACACTATGTTCCGTTACATCACGACAGATCAGATGGTGATATTTTTAAATGACACATCCTGTACATTTTTTCATCATTGATTTCAGCGTAAAATTTTTGGTTCCAATACTAAGATTTAAAATCAATTTATGGCAAAAATGTAAAAAATACTAAAAAACTGTCTATAATATTATATTATATAATAATATTATAAACAGTAAATATTTGATATTTCATTTCATATATTTAATATTAGATTTATTGTACTTTTCATAACCTATTTAAGCTGTTTTATGTAATTTATATATACTAATATGGATATTTCCGTAATAAATTTATTTTAATTTTAAATACAGAGATAAGGGTTAATTGAAATGAAAGATCAAAACTTCATCTTTATGTACAGACGATTTTGTACAGGAACGCTAATTTGCTAATCTTTAAACATCTAATACTTCTTTTTTTTAAATAGATTACCCAGTATATTATTTCACTATTTGTTTTTTTGTTTTTGACAAATTTTAATTTAATTTATAAATTATAACTAAAAGAAATAGAAGAAATATAGGATTTCACGCACTAATAAGCCACAATGTATGTTATAAATCCATATAATAAAATCAGTCAATGTTTTCTTGATGAGATACGGACCTTCCGAAGACCTATGAAGCTTTGGAGAATAACCCTTCTGTCTTTTTAGGTTATGGAGCCAGACTTTGTCGCTTTCCTTGAAACATCCCTCTGTGGCTGCTTGGGTATCGTATCGTTCCGTTATTCTATCGCTGGCGATTTGAAGATGCGAGCGAACTAACTCATGCATTACTATTTTTCTTCGTAGCTGGATTACATAATCTTCACCGGCTGTCTTCTGCAGGTCGGCATCCAAATTCGAGGTCACACGGTCATCTCACGCTCGAATAGCACCTATACTGGTGTTTGGCCTGTAGATTCATTGACAGCGGATCTATATACCATTGCGAAGAGATGGTTGGAAACCATTTTTAACAAGTATTTGCCAATTGTCTTATTCATTCGCTTTACCACTCCATCCGACTATGGGTGCAGTGTCGTAGTTTTGGTTTTCTTCATGCCTAGTCTGTCACATATTCCTCGGAAAAGCTGGCTTTCAAAATATCTGTCTTGGTCGCTGTGGATCTCCAAGGGAACTGATTAATTCTTCTATTAACACGCCTTCAACAGTTGCGGCCTCTTGATTTGGAATGGCGTAGACTTCAGGGAATGGTCCAGCAATAGCTAAGGCAGCCTGTTCAAATGGGCTACTGGTGTTGTACTGCTTTATGTGGGCCTTCTTTTTCGTTGGGGTCCCTTAATCGTAGTACAGGTAGTGCATTTCTTACACCAGTCCTGTGCATAATCGGAACTGTGCATCCAATAAAAACTTTCACAAACTCTCTGATGGCTTCTCTTAACACCGAGATGTCCTTCTAATGGATTGTCGAGTAACCGACGAAGTACTTCGGCTACTCTAGTTTTTGGAATGACCAAGTGTCTTTTGTTTCGAGAACATCGGAACCATCATTATTATCTAGTACTCGCTTTAGTTAATCTTCTTCCAGAACAAAAGAGTCCTACTGAGCCAAATATGACTTAACTACTGGACAGAGATTTAATACTTCTTGCCAAGTAAGTCTAGGATTTGTCTCTTTCTATTGTTGCATCTTCTTTAAAACGGGATCGTTCTCTTGTTTTTCCCTAAGTTTGGCAAGGGCCTACTCATCGTTGACTACTACAGTTGTTCTTTATAGTCCACTTTCTTTAGATTCTGTTCTGTTGCAGTGAAAACACTCTGCTGGGCATAGTCTTATAGAAATATAGCCGGCATTTATGTGGCTTATTTCGGCTCTATGTTCGATCTTAAATTCGTACTCTTGAAGTCGTTCAATCCATCTGGCGATTTGACCCTCCGGGTTTTTGAACTGCATTAGCCACTTAAGGGCTGCATGATCAGTACGGATTAAGAATGTCCTTCCATATAAGTATTGGTAGGAGTGTTCCACGGATTTCACAACTGCCAGGAGTTCTTTTCTGGTGATGCAGTAATTTCGTTCAAGTTTCGAGAGCACTTTACTAAAATAACCCAGTACTCTTTCTTTCCACCCCTTAATCTGTGAAATAACTCCTCTAATTCCCACACTACTGGCATCAGTATCCAGAATAAATTTTCCTTCTGGTAGTGGGTAGCCTAGTATCGGTGCTGCTGTTAAATGCTTCTTTAATATTTCAAAGGCAGGATGGCAATCTCCATTTCAGCAGAATTCTCATGCTCCTTCTATAAATTGCGTTAATGACTTAGCAATATCTGCAAACTTCTTGATGAATCTTCGATAGTACGTACATAGCCTAAGAAAACTTCTTATTCTATGTTTATCAGTTTGTTGTTGTCATTTTTTGATGGAAGCGAATATTTCCTTATCTACAGCCACGCCATCCTTGCTGACTTTCTGACCTAGGTAATTAACTTTATTTTGAAATAATTAGCATTTCTTGGGGTGTAGCATCAGTTAAGCAGCTTGAAGTCTTTTAAAAACATTTTCTAAGTAAACTACAGAAAAATCCATAGGCGAAAAATTTAAACTTATTATGCATGTTTACCATTTGGTTAAAAAGGTTTGCTACATATTTGTATGAACAAAATTTAACTTGAAGTACACTATGCATGAATAAAATTATTCTTTGTGAACAGTATATTTTGTAAGTTATCTCTTTATTTTCCATTATATTTATATTTTTTATGACTTTTAATACAAAAAGAGGGTTCTTGTAGCTTAAAAAGTTGGCGTGGTTTAAATAACCGTAATTATTTCTGGATTCAGAGGTCCACAACTAATCAAAACAGGTGATAGATCCAAGGGCGGCTTCAAGAGGAATTTTCGGGGGGAGGAGCATTTCCTTTAGCCATTCCCCTTTTAGCACATTTCTTTGAATAAAAGGCTCATAAATCGTAAGAATTTTCATCTCGGGGGGGGGAGGGGGGGTTATAGCCCCTATGACCCCCCTGGAGCCGCCCTTGGATAGATCTAAGACAGCGAAATTGTTGAATTGTTGTTCCTCTGTGTTGTATTTGAAAGGTTATAGGCCGTGGGCGGTAGTAAAGGATGGTGATGGTATAACGTGATATAAGTAACACCAATTGGTATTTTGAATTGAAATTTTGACATTGTTTATGTAGGCGTCATTAACTTGTGTTTTTGGATTATAGTAGATACAGTAATTTGTTTTTAAAAACTGAAACAGACTAAAATAATAATGATACGTTGGGCAATACTTAGTTGTTTTAATAGGTATATCTGAAGTAGATAAGAATAAATCTTCAGAAATAACATATCGCTGGTAAAACATATTAGATAAGTACTCTAGAAAATTGCGATTTTTTATATGCAGAAAAAAGCAGGTTACTTTTTTAAATAAGTGTGCAATATTTAATTTAAATTTCTTCTGTTTCTATTCCCATTGTTAGTTTTAAATAAACTTCGTCTCGCGGTGCCATTTACTTGGTACGATATAGACGTATGACAACAGGGGGAAGAGGGGAGAAACTCCTATGGGGTAGACTGAGGTAGCGTTTGAAATCAACCACCTCCACAGGAGGGTGTCATGGCTGAAAAAAAAAGTATGAATACAAATAATAAAGTTTAATTTACTTCAAATGTGAATTTGAAGATGAAGTTGTACTTCGAAACAATTTTTATCTTTTTTTTTTAAATAAAAGTGTGAAAATCTACAAGTTTGGTTTTTCTTATTTAAACGATATGGATTTTCATCAAGTCAAGGCAGAAACAATCAAAAATACTTATGTTATGTTGAGAATGGGGTGTTAATACACTGCGACCTAAAAGATCTATTGTGCCCGCTTCTGTCGCCAATGAACTAAGGAAATGTCTCAATGCCTATAACGACCCTTCCAATCCTATTTTCTCTCAAGGAAGTATAGGATTTGAAGTGGCTTCAACTTAGGCAAATCTCCCTCTTCTATTTGATATCCTCCTAGATATAGTGCCCTTGGATTTTGGAGTGCTACACATTCAGTTAGGATGTAAATGGAGGTTTCGTCCTCCTCCTCACAGAATGTGCACTCACTATTCTCTACTACTCTCAGTTTACTTAGGTGTCCTTTAAGTCGGCGATGCCCGGTAAGTATCCCTGTTACAATACATAGCCTGTTCTTGCTCAGGCAGATGCAGACTTCCGATATTTTCTGGTTATATTCTCCCAGAAGTATCTTGGCCTGTCTCAGCCCCAAGAGATTGTTCCAATTATCGATTCTTCTACTGCCCAATTCTTTTTTAATCTCTCCTAATATTAAGTTACTTCTGATACCGCAAAACGGCTCAGGTCCTACAAAGGGTGTTCCTTGCAAGACTATCTGCAATCTCGTTACCCTGTACTCCGTTATGTCCCGGGACCCAAGTGAGAGTAACTCTATTTTACTCGCCTAGCTCATTCAATTGTTCTAGGCATCTCCAGACCACTTTTAAGCTGATTACGTAAGAGCTCAGAGCTTTGATGGTAGCTTGACTATCGGACATGATGATAATCTCTTGTCTATGATAGTTTCTCTCGATGTTAAACTGGATACAC